TGGTGGTTAAGCACCGCAGTTCAGTTCAATAAATATACCAGAAAGCAAGGGAGGAGTTGAGACATCGAAATAGCTTTTTTTAAAAAGTTTAAAATGCTCGTCAGAATCCTTTCAAGTAAATGTATCATCACTAAAATAATAATTAAAAAATGTTATTAATTATATAACCGTGCTTATTGGAATTATCATCATAACGAATACACATGAGGAAGGTCGATAATTTCAACTTCATTAAAATGTATCAGTTTATAATTTTAATGAATTAACCTTGCTTCCAACTTTGCGCAGTGGTCTTTTGTTTCTGATATTATAATTCTTAAGTTATCTGTACTAAGTTTTTTTGATAATGGACCTTCTTGATATGTAACCCTGTTGTTGAAAAAAAAAAAAGTTTGTAATTCTGTAATGTTTTTGTAGAGTCTTGCATGTACTCTTCGTTTAAAATCCAGATGCTTAACTCGGCTCGATAAACGTTTCTATAGCGTTCTGAAAATAATTACGCATTTTAACTTTATAGTTATTGGTGATTACCGTATACACGTCTTTCTACCCCGAGACAGCAGGCACATTTGTCATGTCTCCATTTTATATTTAAATATATTCAAATGTACATTTATTGATATGATCAAAAGCGGCAATAAATACGAGATAAGGAAGTACCTTTATCAGTGATAGTATTTGCTGCTGCCCTTGCAATGAATTATTAGTATTTTAATGTTGATGTCCTGGAGTGCTTTCTCATTTTTAAGAGTAACTCTGATCTTTTCAAGAATTCTTCTGTATTGAGTATGAAGAACACCTGTAAATCTTCGCGTTAAGTAAATAAAATTCTTTCTTTTGTTTGCTTCTATTCTTACGCATCTTGAAGTCGATTTTAAATTTAAATGTGGAGATAAGAAGTTATTTGGGTTATGTTGCTAGATTTGTCTGTTATTCTTTTCGTTGCAATCGCTATGTTTTCGAGTTACGTATTTAAACATTAATATAAAAAAAAAGTTCTATTAATAGATAGATTTGATTATAAACTTTTTTTTTTATGTCAGTCGATCGAAGTATTTTACAATTTGCGTTGTTTTTGCTCAGAAATTGTAAAAATTATAACATTCTATATTATTCACGCAAATAATGCCGATTTCGCATTTTTTAGTTTCGTACGTAATTATTTGATATCTGTTCTTGTGACACGCAAAAGGGTTCACAAAAGTTCGCTAGCAAAGCGTGTTAAATATTTTATCTTCAGTTACGACAGTACAGGTTAGAGCTACTAGAGATACAGGCTGACTCGTCAAGCCATTTTGAATCTAAGCTTTAGGGTTGCAATTTAGGTGTGGAGCGGCAACTTTGGCTCTTTAGCGCTGTCCGCTAAAATTTAACATTCTAGAGAATCCGAATTTCAGCTTTTTTCTGCATCCATATAAAAATGTGTGGCTTTTTCCCCTTCTTTTGTCTGCAGTTCAGATTCTTTCTCGTATTTTTTTTTTTTTTAAATTGCCAAATTTCTCGTATGATTCAAGTTATTTTAAAAGTTTCTAAAACATTTTCACATATCATATTTCAAATTTGTATTTTTAGTTAAAAATACTTTCTTTTTGAATTCCTTTATTGAATTTTCAATTTTTTCTTTTAAATACACGCATAATGTTATTCATCTCAAAATGTATTTTTTGACAAGAGCTTTCCCTCAACCTCCATTAATTTAGGATAAGGTTTAATCTTTAATTCTTGTTTTTTATTTTTAATATGTTATTTGAATTTTGCTCACATGGAATCAAACGTCTATTACTGTAGCAAATTTGTTAAAAATGTTATTTTGTGTGTGTTTCCAGAAAAAGCTGCTAAACACTTTACATGACTTTACATGATTTTAAATACTGATTCAGGATATACACCTTTAAATTATAATGCTTTTAGAATGAAGTGCAGAATGCTATAAAAATTACTTCAATGCTCAGATGACTGTGGGATTCATAGATTTAATAGAGTAAAAAATTCCATTAAATTTTTTTTTTTTTGTTCTTTATTTAGCTAAAAACAATATTAAAATAATACACACACAAATAAATAAAAATAAAAATAATACCTTTACATACAGAATTTACAGATACTATTTACTTATAAGTTTATTTGTTGTTGATGGTTACTTTTTATTATACTTGGAAAAAAATTATACTTACATACATATGCTCTTAATATTACACATATCTGAATATTTAAATGATAATTCCATAACATAATAAAATTCAATCTATATCACAGCAAAGACAATACTTAAATCACAGTTCTTTTTATTAATTAATTTGCATAAGTAAAAACATAAAAATATTATTTAGCTTCAAATCTATAAAATAAGTCCTCTAGTAACAAACATATGACAAACACATATAGTGAAAATAAAGATAAATAAATAAAAATGTTTTGCTTTTTTGTCTAATGTAGTGCAATTCAGTCTATTATATTCAAATTTTATTAAAACATACTGCAGTAATTGAATTTTTTCCATTATGCATCAAACTGCTTTATATAGAATGATATTATATTAGTTTTACTTTTAAAACTAATATAATATAATTAATTCTCATTTATATGCGGAGATGTTTGAATAAATGCAAAAAACCATCTGAATAAATCTTAGCCAACACTATTCAGATAGTATTCTTGTTTTCAAGGTATATCATTTTTATTTTGTTCTTTTTCCATTAAAGGAGCTAAACTAAGAGACTTATTTCATTTACATATATCTCATTGATATTATAAATATAGCTTAAACATGTTTTATGTGCATACTCAAAGGGGGTGGGAAGTAAGCCTTGATTCAAAATCTGTTTTAAAGCAATAAGTAAATAAATAAAATACACTGGTTCTATTAGAATGTCAAAAAATACTGTTATGTATTCTATAAACAAATACAAATTATCACATCATACTACATAACCCTGGTACAAAAGAAGAAATGTCTGATTAGGAACATACTCTATTTATTTGGTAAAAAAGAAGAGTAAAACATATGCAACATCTCATTATGAAAAATCCTGCAAGCCATTACAATACTATAAGACATTGATTAGTAAGGTAAACATCAGTTGATCATTCTTTCACAACAGCAATAAATGTTTCATTCAAAATTCCTAATAACATGCCAAAACAGATTCACAATTGATGCCTCATTTAAGGTCACACAAAAGTAAATCCGATTTAGCTGACTATGAGATCTTCTATTGTAGAGGACTTTCTAAGGAGAACTGGCTTGTATTCACATTACACATGGGGAAAAACCACAAAAAAAACCAACCATGCAGCCAGCCTGTTCGGAAATAGAACAGAAGATGGAACTCCCAGCATTCAGTAACTTTAACCATTCAGCTGTTGGTGGGCCTAATTATTATTCGAAGAGACAAGCAGCAATTTTTCAGTGACAACTACTCTACTTTTTTACAGACAGAACTGAACAGCAAAAACTTCTTAAACTCTTGATTAGATTCTAGTTTACTTTCTTCCTTTTAAAAGCAGGAGATGCAAAACTTTGCCGCTGCTGCCTTTTATTTTGAAGAAGCTTCTTGAGACCAATTCCACGGGCAGTCAAATAATATTTTATTATCTTTGTTTTGATATTGCAACAGGAGGGAATATTTACCTCGCCTGCTTTCTTACAAATCATATTAACAAATTCCACATCCATAGTTACATTTCCATGTATTATTTCGTCTCGAAAATTTTGAATTATTTTTTTCACACAGAAGGCACAATTTAAAAATTTCTCAGGAGAAGGACATTTAAGCCCACCTAAATTTGCAAAATTAATTATGTACTGCTTATTTTCATCAATGGAAGGAGTATTTTGCTCACAAACTAAGAGAAACTGTGAGCATGAATTACAAGCATTTTTCAAAACAGAATTTATTGCAGCTCCTGCAATATAACAGACGTTATTTTCCTCACTAAGGGGTGAGATTCTGTAGAGATACATCAGAAACTTCTGGTATGGTAACAGGCTCTAAAGCTTTTTTCTCCTTCAGAAATTCAAATTCATCTTTCGCATAGTTTAATAAAGTAAATATCTGAATCAGTAGCATAACTGGAGTTCTTAATGTCAGATATAAACTGAGATAAACAGATAAGCTTTAATGCTTTCACAGCTTGCAAAGCACTTGGCCTCAAACCAGCTTTTCTGCGTATCTGAGAAAAACATTTTCTAGAGCATCTTGTGTCAATCTGCTCGTCAAAATAAACTGAAAATCATTCAGAAAACATGCCTCTGCTAACTGTATGGCTGATAAAGTAGAAAGAATCAAACCAGTATGTAATGGTTTCCACCCTTTACCAATTTCTATAAGCTGTATAACATTAATAAATTCAAAAAGTAACTCATTTTTTTTTTTTGCTTTTATTTGTCACAGAAATTGAGTTCTTTCTACATCTAGAGGATAGCATTTGAAACCACTGACATATAAATCTTATCCACCATGCTGTTGTAAGAGCATTAGGGCTTATCTCTTTTAAAGCTACTGCCTTCTCCAATCCCCCACAGCTGTTTTAATTGAAAAAAACCTCACAGCAGAAGCAACATTCATTTTATCAAAATGTGAGGGGAAGAGGTCTTCTTTGCTGAGATGATGCATAGTTCTCAAACCACAATTTTGGTTTGTTTCAGTAATCCAGATATCTTTTATAAATCCTGCAGATACATGCAAAGTAACCAAATTTTCTTTATTGCAAACATAACTGGGCAGTTTTATACTATGATTAAGAGTTGCAGACCAGAGATTTTTTAAAAGATGTGGCACATCTGCAAATACATAAATAATTTTGCCCTTAATTTCAGTAGTGAAATTATTTCTTTGGTTTCGAGAAACAGATATTCCCAAAGAATTCCACAGGCTTCTATTTACTGCTGCCATATCGCTAACAATACCAACAACATTAAATCCAACAGAATTGACAGCTTCGATAACATTGACAACAAGTTGTTTGAGCTGGCATCCTGTTACCTGTCCAGTTAGTTATCTCATGGGCAACCACTTGCTTCCATTTCAGCTTCAAACCTCTTAGTAAAATAACTAAATAGTGATTTCCTGCACCCTTTTGATTTCCTAATGTACATTTACCAATAAATTTACGTTTTGAAATATCAAAATCAGGATTGCCAGAAATCTCCATTTCATCCAATGATAAAATACAGTCTTTATCACTAGCATTCATTTTTTCTCCTTTAATTTTCAAAAGTTCAATCATGTCACTGATGACTCCAAAATTCATTTCAAGACCTTGAAGTCTTTTATTTAAAGTGCTGTATGAAGGCACAGGAAAACCTATTCTGTGCAAGTAATTATAACCATGCTTGCCCAAGGCAAATCTAACTTTGAGGCCTTTTATTATTCCCTCGTTAGACCATTTTGCAATGCTTCTACGAGGAATTTTCAACATTGCTATTTGTTCATCTGAAAGAAATGTTTTCACTCCTTTCAGCAATTCCTCATGCTGTACTTGAAGGTCATGAAGTTGAATTTCAGTGCTATGCCATTTTTTTAAAACATTAATTTCATTTTTTTTTTTTTGGTTGCTGTAAGTTCTTTCAGTAATATTTTGTTCTGGCATTGCAGAAGCGAGATCAATTCAGTCTGCTGTTTTATAAAATTCCTTAAAAGAACATCCTGGAATAAAGAAAAAATCTATATGAATAATCATCAAAGAAGGGGGGGAACACAACAAACAAACAAAAAAGATCTGAAAGGTTTCAGATTTTAAATTACACCCAAAGGGGCCTTTTTTTAACATTTTTGTGTTTTTACCTTTATTTATTAAATATCAAGTTTTTCACACTTAAAATTCAGTTCAACAGCAATATTGCAAGATAATTTTAAAATGAACACATCTTCAGAATTCCCGATTCATTGTCTCACACGCCGGAGATAAAAGTGTCTTTTCTGTAAAACATTGCCATTGCTCGCTTTGAAATCCTCAAGTTTGTTAATCAAAAATTCGTTAAAGTTTTACAACATATAAAATCTATATTAAAACAAATTCCGAATTTCAAATTCGGTCTTCCAGATGTCCATATTCACAGTAGAATTAAGTCATTCAAAATTTGATGGCTCTAGGTACCGTTGTTTTATCAGAATGCAAAAACATACATGCATTTATGCAGATTCTTCATTTCTTTAAATATATACAGGGGATAATATTTGGTGGCAACAATTTGAAAAGTGATACAGCCGTTTATAGTGTTTCAATGCAAAATCACAAAACGAAAACAATAGTCCTTCAGGAACAAAGCCCTTTTAGATTAAATGCCAAACTTAAACAGATAACAAATCCACAAAATAAAAATACAACTTCCAAGTCTCTTTTCCTATACTGTGGTGGGTTTTTAAATTTGACTCTATTGTTTCCACAAATCTATCTTCATTTCAGCATTTTCTAGATTATTTTTGTTTTATTTTCTAATATTTAAAATTTATTTCACTTAAAAATAGATTTTTTAAAATTTATTTCCAGCTTTTCAAGGGATCGATTATCTCCATAATCATGAGCAATTTAATAACACAAATTATCAACTTATATCACAGCCTTCACAAATGCTGATGCTGATGAAATTAATTAAAATTAATTACAATTTGGTTGCAAGATGAATCTAAAGGTTGTTTTTGCAAACAAAACTGAAATTTACATAGAGAATTTGCAACTATTGATGAAATTAATTACATTCCTTTTACCAAAAAATTACTTTATAGAACATTTTAAATGCATATAAAGAAGCAATTTAATTATACATTAGTTATCAACTTACATCAGAGCCTTCACAAATAGATGGTATTTCATTGCAAAATGAGGCTAAAGGCTGTTCTTGCAAACAAACCTGAAATGTACACAAAGAATTTGTAAATGCTGATGAAATTAATTATTACATTCCTTTTAACCCCCCCAAAAAAAAGTTAATAGAAAAAGAAACGTTTTGTATAAGCAAGCAATTTAATAATACACTAATTATCTACTTACATGAGATCCTTCACAAATAGATGGCATTTTATCACAAGATGAAGTTGAAGCTTGTTCTTGCAAACAAACCTGAAATATATATATAAGAAATTTAGAAATACAGATAATATAAACTACATTCATTTTAAGAAATAATTATTTTACATAACATTTTATAATTCATAAATAGATAATAAATTGTTAACACTCAAAATTCAAAAATAATTCCATAGCACAACAGCCAGATATAGTACAGCTGTTTAGCAACCATAAGACAAACAATTTCATATTTCAGAAATCGTATAAAAATTCATTAATATATGTAAAAACATATGACATTTAATAGCTGCTCAAATGAAAACATAGAATAGATTCTTTACTAGCAGCTGTTATTTAATCAGAAGGTAATGCTAAATGTTGTTGCAAAACACACCTGATGTACTGTAATGTACACATTTGCAACCACTG